ATTTCTGCCATTATAGAGCTAAAAATAGTCTTTTTTTTTCCCTGGGATTTGGGACAAAATTTTCTACTTTTCCATGTGAGGACCATGGTGCAATGGGGATCATTGGTGCAATTAACTTGCCAGTACTCCTTTAAAAAATAATTTAGAGAGTGTCTTAGTAAAGAGTAGACATAAGGCACACAATTTGAGAGTTTAARAAAACAAAACCATAAACAAAAAAGGAGAATACACATGCACACAAAAACCCCAACCATGAATATGAATTGTAAAAGACGAGACTTCTGAATTTTTTTATTACTTTCAATTATTCAAAGGTACCTTATGGTTACAGCTTAATTTACATCTCTGACATCAAAATGCATCATGTGAATCACCTGTGCTTCTACTACCAAAACTAAGAGGCACAAATGAGGAATTCTGTGAAGACAATGAGTCCTGTCTCTGCAGCAGGTTGTTCAGATAACCCCATAAGATATGACAGATTTCCTTCTCACCACTCTCTGAGGTTAAATTCTAGCACAAAATACATCATTATTAATGGTGGTTAGTATTTAGACCAAATATTCTGTTTCAGATGTTTTATGACAGGAGAGAAAATATCATATGGGAGGTGCTTTTTGATGTTATTTGGATTTGCTTCTAAAAAATTAGGCTTTCATRTATTTTTTACCACATATGTAGTTGAATATAAGTTCTTCCTACAAAATGGAAAAGAACTTCRCTGTATAACTGGGACAATTTTACAATTTCTTTTGCTAACATCTGTAGACTGATGTCCCTACTTCTTTTTTTTTTTTTAAATTTTAATTTTACCACTTGCGTAACTCCAATCCGTCTCCCTTCAGTGTTATTTATTGCAAGGGCTGCTTGAAAGGACAGTATGAATTAGATTAACAAAGACTACAATATTCTGGATTAGTTTTATTTTATTTTACATCTCATGGTGTTCCTTTTGCTGTTCTTGGTTTTTGCTAGAAAACTAGTCTGCAGCTGGTTTTTTTTTTTCCTTTTATTATTTCATGGCAGAGAGAAGCAGCAATATAGGGGGGATTTATGGTTATTTGTAATGCTCCAATTTGCTGTCCTTCTCCCTGGTGACACTCCTATATGAGCAGCATATTACTGTGTCTTACTGCTGTGCTTACTGCTTACTGCTGTGCTTTTTTAGATCTTGAAAGAAAGAAAGTCAGACTCCAGGGATGTTGTTTTGCTTTTCATACTGTTCGGTGATAGGAAACAGTTACTTTCCTCTTCCATTTACACAGACCTTAAGAAACTAAAATTTTACTTTTGCCCCTTTCCTCACACAAACATTTCTTGTTTAATCCCTATTACCCCTTCATTCCTGTCTCTGCAGTGTGTCACCTGTTGCAGTTAGTACCATCCCTGTCAGCAGATTTACTTGATGATTATTCCATACTTTCTGTTTCTCCTTCTATCTTGTTTCCCTATATTGGGTGAGTGCAAAGACTTGCTTTATGAAAGAAGAGTATCTCTAAAACTCTTAGTAACTACCATGTTATTTATGCTAGATCAATTATTTATCTGGTGTGGTGATATGGTGATACAAAGAAAAAAAGAAAGAAAAAAAAAAGCCAACTTACAAAAACCCACAACAGGCATCCTCTTGCTGCTGCTCTTTCCCTCATTCTTTCCAGGAGAGCAGCAATGCAAGTGCTGCATTGCTGAGTAGAGATGTCATTGCTCACATACCTTTGTTTTGACCTAGCCCAAAAACAGGTGCCTTAAAATTCTCTTTGGCCTTTCAGTCTGACCCCAGCCAGCATTCTCATGTGGCTGAGAAAGCTGTGGGAAGAGGCAGGAGTGGAGGCCAGAGATCCTTACAGGGTGTGGAGCAGGGAGAGAGCACATACTGCAGCAGTGTGTACCTGCCAGGTCTGTAGAAAGCTGCACTTCTGCAGCATTGAAGTCTAAATAAATAAATGGGATAGAAACAGATGGACTATCTGTATTGGATAAACTAGTTAGCAAAAAATCTCTCAAAGCATTGAAGCATGCGAGCTATTTGCCACATTTCTTTCTTCGAGGAAAAATAGCCATTCTTCATAGGTTCTTTTAAGTGAATTAATTGAACAGAAGGAGTGTGTCCATATGTAGCTTTTTAATGACCRCTTTTGATGAACAGCATCATAAAATTTTTTGAAGACTTTATCTGGATGATTTACTGCTAAGACAGATCTAGGAACCATGTACATTTTTAGTTTTCTCTCCTAGAATGCCTTGACCACTTAGAAAAATTCTTTAACGTTCCTTCTTTAAAGATTTCCTAATTGTTTTGGATTATTTTCAGTACTTTCTTCTCCACCACCCCAACTAGTTTGATTCTATTTCTCCTATGTTTTGGGTATTTGGGGTAGTATAGGGATATGATAAGAATGTTGATCTTGAAAGTTTTTTTTTGCTCCTCTGAAAAGATTTCCTTTAGTGCTTCAGGTAATAATTACCACATATCTATTCTATTTCATTGTTTTAAACATTCAACTAATTGCTTATTTTAAAAGGATTATAATTCATGTAAAACAACAACATTGCAATTGGTTTATTAATTACAATCAATTGAAATTAATACACAGCATCAACAAGAAGAAATGCCTTGAATACAAGGAAAGAAAAAAATTCAACCAGATAAAATAAATTCAGCCAGAGAAAGAAAAAGAATTGAACAAGCAAGTAAAAGATGAGGGACATGGACATTATTCACAAAGCCCGTCATAGAGAAGATGCTGCAGTTCTGTCCCTCCAGTTTATTCCATTGGAAATTTCTCAGGAAAATTTCTCTGAAAAGAGCAGGGGCGGTTCCTGCTCTTTTCAGTAATTCAGAAAATGACTTTGAATCATCACCTATGATGGCACCAAAATGCCTTTGGCTTCTACTGACATATTTTCACATTCTTGTTCAAGCTATTTTCATGTAGGAGAGAGGGAAAATTATTACAATAACTGTTGGTAAAATCAGTCCTTAAAAGCTGAGGAATGTTATATTAGTTACTTCTTGAATTGATACTTAATGAATTTCTACCTGTATGTCGTGTACCCACATAATGGATGTATCATAAAATAATGGCAAGGTGTAAAGTGACCGAATATCAGTTCAAATCCCTAGGTAAACATTTAAAGTATGCTTCAAAATTCTAAAATGCCAGATTCTATACTGAGTTTTAAAAATTTGCTTTGTATCTTTAAAGAAATCTTTTGTTTTTGATCCTGATCTTACTAAGGAAAATTAAAATGTTGAAAGCTTTAATAAGTTGGAAATTGTAAATACCAACTAGCTCTATATATGAATACAGGAAAAAATTAGAGCAAAAGTGAATGATGATTAAAATTAAAGCACTTTGTCAAAAGAGTTAATCAAAGAATTGTGAGGGAAGCTAATACATGCATGCATGCATGCCTAATTGTCAATCACAACATTGGTTTAGTGGTGAGAGACAAGTTCTAACTGCAGTATTACTTGTCTTTCCAGAAATCTCAGATGCTAAGTACATCAGTAGAAGAAATTGTTTCAGAGTTAATTTATATGTAGTTTAGTTATTCATATCTTGAGGAAGAAAGTTTCATTAATGTAAAGAGAATACTTCTCTTGCAGTGACCATACTCCTAGATATCACAAGGTTGCATTTTCATAGTTACCAGGGTGTATGTCACACAAGGTACAAGAACACATGCCATTTATTGCATTTGATATTTTGTATTTGGCTTATTATAACCTTGCAGCATTCCTGGACTGCTCTTTACAGAGTTGTAGGGCAAATTCCATGCAAGATAAAATTTGCTAATCCGTGAAAACTGCTAAATTTGCTGTACGAGATTAAAAATGTAGAACAGATTATAATTGTCATAGATCAAACCTTTAAATTATCCTGAGTACTGTTGTGTTTGTGACTGCTGCATATTAATGGCATTTTGATTCAAGCAGACTGATTGAACACTTTCCAAACATCAAACTAAGTGTAAATAAGGTTTTAATTTGCTATGGTCATTTTACCATGATGTTGTGAAAGTAGTTCAGCAGCTACCATAAAATACCTAAAATATATTTAGCTAGTGTAAAGAATACAATTTTGGAACTGAGTTATTTGATGTCATGAGTTTTTGGAGTAATCTTATTCAATGTGAACAGTGGGACATATACATTGCTATGCACATTATCACCTGAAGGACAATAGGCACCTTTTAGGACCAATATTTCTGTATGATGCTTAAAAGTATAGTAACAGCAAAATTCTTGGTTCCTATGCTTGCTTCATAATATAAATTTAACCAATAAAATTGTACATGATCAAGAAAGTTAATGGGAGGTCAGGTGCGCCATACCAGCAAGTTCTGCTAATGAATACGTTTCTATCCTGAAATCATTTATTTGCAATATAAATCATATTGCTGAGATCATATTCTGAATACAGTGTGTGTTTTTTTTTTCTCCTTATAATTACATTCATACCGAGGCTTTCAGCAGCACATAAATTACTTCATCAGAACTTTCTTCTAATATAAATCAAACCAGTATGTTGCCTAGACTGAAAGCATTTTCTGGTACAGTGAGTTTGTGATTTATTGATGTTGTTTCCTGTCTTCAGCATGGCATATTTTGAAAATTACAGTAAGTTAAAATGCTGTGTAAGTTTAGCTAACTCCAATGAAATCAATTTGATATTTTTTACAAGTATTGTTGTAATCTGTACTAAAGTAGCCATAACGCCAGACTAAGTCTCTTTATGTATAGTGTTCTGCTCTTAATGCAACTGTTTACATCTCTCTGTGTCACTACATTCTGGAAGTCGCTACATTCTGGAATACATTGATATGAATTAATTTTTTGCTATTTTTTTGTAACTATACTTGTCTTTTCTACCATGGAAATGTGTCTTTCCTTCCTAGTTACTTTGGTAATTTTTAAAATAATTTTTGCTTTAGAAATTCTTTAGGTAGAGCCCACATTAAAAGATAATTAATCGATGTTATTTCTCCATTAACAGCGCCTATCAAATGGCTCAATAGACTCCAATGATGAAGCCAGTCAAGTTGTTGAACTTCAGGAACTACTGGAAAAGCAAAACTATGAAATGGCACAAATGAAGGAGCGTTTGGCTGCACTATCTTCCCGGGTGGGAGAGGTAGAGCAGGAAGCAGAGACCACAAGAAAGGAGCTCATTAAAACAGAGGAAATGAACACTAAATATCAGAGAGACATTAGAGAGGTAAGAAATTCACCACACTCACCTTGTATTTCTTGATTGTTGTTCCTGTGTTATCCACTACAAACTGATAGAGGCCAATATATATGGGCAGCAAAAGTTGCCACTGATGAAAGCCCTTAAACATAGGAGACAGAAAATTTAAATGAAGAAATAGTACTAGAAATTTATTCCTTTCTCTCAATAAATGAAGGTATAATTAATTTTTCCATCTCTTTCCTCCTCTTAAACTTGTGGTGTTTCTTAGTGTTCTCCAGCATATTGTGTCTTAGGCAGATGTTCTCAATATGTGTGCATCGTTGGCTTCTAGAATCTATTTTAGCATGTATTAGTTATCTTTCTGTTAGACTGCTTCCTACAATATAGTTATTTCATATGGATTTATGTATGTATGTGTCTGTATGTGCATTTGTATGCATATATTTCATCTGTTATTTCTAGTATTCTGGAAGAAATGTTCCTTAACAGTTTTGGATGTCTGGATAACCAGGGGCTGGACAAGCAGGGGCTCAGGTCCAGCCAGCATGGGTGTGTGAAAGGCAGGTCCTGCTTGACCAACCTGATCTCCTTCTATGACAAATTAACCCATTCAGTGGATGAGGGGAAGGCTGTGGATGTTATCTACATGAACTTTAGTAAAGCCTTTGACACCATCTGCCACATTCTTCAGGAGAAACCAGCTGCTGGTGGCTTGGACAGGTGCACCCTTTGCTGGGTGAAAAACTGCTGGGCCCAGAATGGGGCTGTGAACGGTGACACATCCAGTTGGTGACCAATCCCTGAGGTGTTCCCCAGGGCTCATTACCGAGGCCAGTCCTGTTCAATGTCTTTATTGATGATCTGGATGAGGGGATCAAAGGCACCCTCAATAAGTTCACAGATGACACCAAGTTAGTCTGGAGCGTGTATCTGCTGGAAGGTGGGAAGGCTCTGCACAGAGATCTGGATAGGCTGGATCCATGGGCCAACATCATGTTATAAAATGTAATCAGTAAGACGTGCATTATGTTTTAATTGCATGGTTCCTGATGGGGGTTTTTCTGTCACATCAGGCAATGGCACAAAAGGAAGATATGGAAGAAAGAATAACTACGCTGGAGAAGCGCTACCTCAGTGCTCAGAGAGAATCCACCTCCATACAYGACATGAACGATAAGCTAGAAAATGAACTGGCAAACAAGGAAGCCATCCTGCGTCAGGTGCTGTGCCTGCACTAGTCTGTTGTTTTCTTCTTACACAATGAAAAATAATGTCAATTTACTGTAAAATGTTTTCATTGGTTTCATCTGTTCAGTTTTAATCAACAGATCAGTTAATCTAAAAAATCCTAAATCGTTCAGGGTCTCTAAGTTTCATATCAGCCACTACACCTGTGAACAGTAATTTCAATGTGTCCATTCAATGTCAGAGAATAAGTGTATTTTTTGATAGAGTCTTGCATAAGTGCCCAGTCTTAATTCCTAAGTAGTGGAATATCTTTGCTTCTTAAGTAACGACTTTGGAATTTTATTTAAAAAAAATAGTCTGGGTTAAAAAAATTCCTTTCTGCAGGAAAGATCAAAATTTGCATACAATATATTCTAATGATTTTACGTCTTCTTAGTAGAATACACATACAATTTTATCAAGCTAAATGAACTGTGAATATGTTTTAAGAAATCTTACAACATGACTGTGCAGTTTTCCCTCCTGGTACTTTGTTTCCATGGTGATTCCAAATCTGGAATGTAAACTGGTTTGTAATTTGAAAAATGTGATATAAGCTGAAAGCAGACATGAAATTAGTATTATTCATAATGCATAATTCAAACCCAGCCTTACTAACTGACTCATTTTTTTCCCAGCTTTAAGCTATTCAAAGTTCAATATGGGAAATTAGGCTGTGTGGTATGATAATCTCTGCTTCTATAAGTGCTGATATATTTGCGCACACATGCACAGATCCCTCTGTATGTTTGTGTATATTTGTATTTGACTACCTCTTCAGGGAAATTAAACCATAAGAACTCAAACTCTCCAGCTTTTGCCAGCTTCCTTAGACTAATTTAAGAGGCATCTTCAATTGTCAGGGAAAAAAACCACCCAATGATGGAAAAGCAAGGTACTTGCATCTGAGTTCTTATTGCTGCCAATGTAAGTCATGCTGTGCTGCGGAGTTTTGCCTACTCAAAGCAGGAATCAAAACAACTATATGGTCAGATTTCAAGTTGATTTGCAGCATTGAGATGTGCAAAGCCCAGCTTTACATGTTTTTTGAAGTATAAGAGAAGAATCTACAATCATACTCCTTTTTAATTTTGTCTTTAACTGGATTGAACAAGAAAGCAGAAACCATTGAAAAATCTTAATTGTGTGGTGCATCTCAGTAGGCCAGAAAATGCTGCAGTTATAAAAAGCCCTCCTGTTTCTCTTTACTAGTAATCACAGAATAATCAATTTCACCTCTGGAAAATGAGATTTAATTGTAATGAATGAAATGTCAGTTTTAGCTTTTCATGATATAGGACTGCATTCACTCATAAAATTATGTTTGGCAATTTATTCAGGGAATTCCATCCTTTCAGAATTGTACTTATTTCCCATTTTAGCTCATATGTAAACTTTTATGTAAAAACCCCCTATATTTCCATTCAGAAAATTGTTATTTTACTGGCATAAGCACTATTATTTTGCTCAGATAAATACCACATCGATCAGTGGAGCTTTTTCATCTTAATTCATGTGATTTTATAACTCCTATTTATTCACCTTTGTGAGATCCTTGAGCCTCAAATAAGTAGTAAGACTGGCAGCCTACATTGTTCCATGCTTGAGTTAATACCTCTCCAGCAACCTCTCCCATGTTGTGGGGTATTTTGCCTGTTAGTGAGTTTTGCCATTGTTTCACTGATGCCTTAGAATCTGATACCTTGGAATGGGAAGAGAAATGCCTAATATTGATTTTTATTTTTTATACTTGTTTGTGTTTCTTTGGCCTTCAGTTGGAAGACAAAAACAGACAGCTACAAGAGCGTCTGGAGCTGGCAGAGCAGAAGCTGCAGCAGACGATGAGGAAAGCCGAAACCTTACCTGAAGTGGAGGCTGAACTGGCTCAGAGAATTGCAGCTTTGACTAAGGTACTGAGAAATAGGCTCACTTCAGCGGTCCCTTTGGTTGGGGTTGCAACCTGATTCCTCACCTCAAGGACAAGACAAAGGTAGCATCAAGTCCGCTTGGAAGAAGAAAATGTTTCCTGATAAGTATGTGCTCAAGAATGAGATCAGTGCTGTGTTTGTAGCTCTTAGAATTCTGGTGACAGGAAGAGTTATCTGTAAGTTAGCCCAGGCGATATTTACAAAGGAGTCATGTATTTCCAATACATTTGAGTATTACTTACTCTAGGAGGATTCATTTTACTGTGTAAGAGTTTCTAATTTAAGGGTTGATGGTGAGTGAAGTCCCTTTCCTACAGGTACTTAGTTCTTCTGGATGTTTTCATATACTATGTGTATGAGCAATACCTAGTTTTATTGCAATAAGTGCTATAAAATCAAATCCTGGTGGCAGGTGGGATCATTTGTGCAACACAAATGAAGGCACCTTGCAGTTCATGTTTACAAGGTTTGCTCTGAATGATTCTTTGTATCATATATCTGCAAAGAAAAATGTGAACCCCTGAGTGGATTTCAAACTGATTTTTTCTGATAAATTTATGACACGGCTTCTATCTTGCAGAAGAATAAGAAGATAAATTTTAGTCGCGTGTTTTTTATATTTAGCCTCTAATGCTTTCAGGTGTGCATGTAGTTAATATTATGGGTCAAGTATTATCAGCTTCATAAAGACATATAATGAGGCTTATTCTTCATCTCTTAAAATCAGATGAAGAAAAATGCATTTAAGAGACTGTATTATATAGAATTCTGATTTTTCTAAGCTTTCCTTTCTCTATTGCCAAGGAATGCTTCTTACTATTTATGTGTTGAGCTGTTTTTGAATTTGATGGATGTTTTTCAGTTCTTTCAGTTTTAGTGAAGCCTTAAATGCTGAGCAGCTCATTAATAAGTCTGATTTTTAAGTAATTCAGTTAAGAAGTAAAGACAAAGAAAGGAAGGCTTTGGGGAAAATTTGTATGGGTTTTCTTTTTTTTTTAATTAAGGCAAGATCCTTATTCAGTAATCAAGGGTTTGTACTGTCACTTAGGTTTGTGTGAATGGGTGGGAATCTGAAAGAAAGACTGAAAATTGGTGGAGGTGTCATGGGGGGAGGAAGGCAAGAAGAATCAGCAAAAAGACCTACATGAAATACTGAATAAATTTCATTGGATTTTAATAAAACTCAGGTGCACCTAAGAGCAATCCCTTGGCATTTTAACTTTTTTTTCCCAATTGTTTCTGATTCAGCATATAATCATATATTCTAATGCCCTCAGTAGCTTAAAAATACTGTTTTCTATTTTAAGAGGAATTTTCCTGAATAAGTTCTCCAGCAATTAGCCACCAGTAAGTATTTGGCAGTCTCAAGCATGTCTTTTCTTGCAACTGCATTTTTCCTTGAACATTTATTAATGACAAATATTGTAAGAAAAAAAATCCCATTTCAACCATGCAGAACAACACTCAAGGACTTCCATGAGATACTGTTGTTATTGTGATCATAAATCTGCAATATACATCTCCGTTTGTCTTCTTGCATTATTTCATGGGATGTGGTTAGAGAGCTGAGAGCAGAGCTGATGCGCCACCCCATTTCACTTTGATATATTTGATCAAAGTTTTTGCCAAGCAGGAAACTCTGAGAAGTACGTTAGGTTATAATGCTGGTTCTGTTCATTTCTCAGTGATTACATGAAAAACTGAAGACATGTATTTCACGTAAAATTGTGCTGCCTTGGAATATATGACATAAAGAAAATGTCATAATTTGGCCAATAGGCTAAACAAGCTTGTAGCTTATATCTCTTGTATACAATGTCTTTGCAAACTGTAGAGCTTATTAAAGTGCTGAGGCTTATTAAAAGTGGTTTGGCAGCTCTGAATTTTAAAGTCCATTCCTTTTCATGGATCACATAAATGTGTCTCTAAGCCAAGGACAGCACTGTAATCACTGCAGTTTACTTAAGCAGTTTTAAGTTAGCTGGCTGGTGTGCTCTTACCTGTGCTCAGCTATTCACTGAGAGCTGCAAGGCCTATCTAAGGGACTGAATAATGCCTAATAAATTTTACCTTGGTTGGGCTTTATGCCAACATACATCCTGTCTGTAGGACTCAAATTATCTGGCTGCAGAATACCCAAAACCTACCTGAGCTGTGGGATCACTGCAGTGCCTATGTACACTAAGTAAAAGATGAGCCTCCAAATCAGCTACTGTTTCTGTGCTAAAAAATAGTCAAAATTGATTCTCCTTCCTTTAGTACTATCCCAATGAAAGTGGCTACTCTGACATTAATTGGGTTTGCAATCATATGGAGGAGGTGAGTTAAGCCTGCCATGCTTTTCGTGTATTTTAAAAGAAAGTAATATGGGTTATCTGCTTTAATGTAGGTAAAATATAAGAGAAATTACTTACATGTGGAGATAAAGGAGAACAAATATGTTCTGGATTTGGCTGTGATAATTTCCTCTCCCCCCCCCCCCCCCCCATAGATTTAAAAGATGCATGTGGCAGTTCTGCATTAAATTTTTTACATTTTTGCTAATAATAAATGTGGGTTATGATTCTCCAAAGGAAGGATATTGGTTATGATCCTTCTATGTGTCAGTTTTTAAAATCAGTTGTTTTTTCTATTTTTATGTATATAAGCTGGTGAAATGTCTTTCTGCTACTTTTCTATGCCCAAACTAGTTCATAAGGAGTGAACTTCCAATAAATTGGACTATACAGTGAACTTGGATAAGTACCCATAAATTTACCTAAATCATCTGATCTTTTCTTTGGCTTTGTTTTCACCATGTTCTGCCCATTGGTGAGCAACTGGAGGGTTAGTCAGCCTGTGGCAAACTAACCTGGARCACCATGATCCCATATACTGTGCTGTCCTGCCTAGCCATCACACCGATATCTGTCTGGTCATGACAAATAGCACAGCTCTCAGCATGTATCCCAAGATTTAGACTCCCATGACTCATTGAGCCACYTTCTACTCACTCTCACAGTATTGGTCTGTTTGGCCGCCCTGGAAGAGACAGTTCCTAGTAGAAAGAACCTCCCTCCTGTATTAACCTTTCTTTATCCCACAAAATGTTTGTTTTCCTCAGAAGGGACAGACATTGGAGCATCCTGAATCTTCAGATGGTTAGTCTGTCAAACACAGTTTCTCCTTGCATGTGTTCAAGGAGGGGTCCAGTAGAGCCAGCCAGCATCCACCTACTTCCATTCACTCACTCCTGCCAGTCCTTCACCTCCTGAGAGCTTGTGTAGCAGAGGTACCGAGTCACTTCTTTGATCACAAGACAGCAGTCAGCATTTTACTCCATCAATCCTCTGTGCAGGTCACCAGAAATACCAACCATGCTTTTCAGCTGCATTAGAGAAGCACTTGGATGGAGAAGAGGAAACCTTATCATAATAAACCACATTTAGCATAGTAACACCTTCGGTTAATTTTAAAGGTGATAAAAAATGACTTGAGAGTTGGTGGCAAGTGGGACATAAGCTTGTTTTCTTTCAGTGTGGGGATGTGGTTTGCTTTAAGCAAGGAAGAAGTTGCAAAACAAGGAAAAGGACAAAGGGATGCAAAGAGGGGAAAAGAAGGTCCCCTGCAAGGAGTGGATGTGGTTAATACAAGAACAAGGGAAAGAGACAAGATGATGTGTTAGCTGGAGCAGGAAGTTGATAAATCCTCTTACAGGCTTAAAAAGAAAAATCTTCGAAGGGCAGGAAGCCAAAGAAAATTTCACCTTTATAACACAGTCCTGTCTTCTCAAAACACCTCTCTTATTGTGCTTCCCTTTTCTCAGGAGATTTTGCCCTAAATAGTAGGAAGAAATGAAGGAAGAAAATTTGACAAAGCTAAGTGGGACGAGTTGTTTACTAAACCTAGGAGGTGCAGAAGGAGTGGAAATGAAGGAGAGGAAAGAATGTGTGAAGGTCTAGTGACTGAAAGGTTAGAGTCTAGAAAAAGGGGATGCCTAAGCCAATTAATTTGGTCACACTGGTGACAGGTTAGATGTGAGCAAGTGAGCAAGTAGCTCATAACTTGTGAGCTGTTGAAATTCTCACCATGATCACCTATTTTTAACTTCAACTTCATAGATCAGTTCAATAATGCATTCTTCCTTTGGGAAGAACTCCCTTATTCTAAGGACAGACTAAAGAATGTGTATCATAAAATGCCAGTAGAAAATCTGGAGAGTGCAGATGTTTAAAAGTCAAGGTTTCAAAATTGGGGAAATTGCTTGTACCATTAGAAAAGCATAGATTTGTTCCTGCAGCTCAGCACAAGGGAAAAAATCTGGCACCTGTATTATACAGGTGGTTTCCACATGTGAAATTGGATTTCTTTTTTTTTCTTCAACTAAGATGCAAAGACCTAGAAAATGTGCAGTGCCATCAGTAGTATATTATGTGAAAGCAGCATCTTTTTTGTGGGCGCATTAGCAGCAGGAACAGCAGCAGAGTTTTAACAGGGTTAGAGAGCATACAAGCTGCTTTCGTATTCCTTCAGTGCAGTTTTCCTGTCTGTTACTAACGTGTGCTGGCTATTTCATGGCATGTAGATTGCAAAGTGAACATTGAGACTCAGGCTGGTTTCTCATAGGGGTCAGATATCACTGGTTTTTGTCCATAGATTTTTAATCCAGGTTAAGATGCATGTTCAGTTATTTACAACTGAATGTTCTGGCTAAATGCTTTATATACTAGTTGATGAATACCACACAATGTGTCTTATTAATCCTCCTGTACAGAGTGAGAGGAAACAAGCCTTATGTTGAAGAAAGAATGTTGGGTAAGGTCTGCTAAGCAAGTAGTCAAGAGCTCTACTYTGCAGCTTTTAACTCAATTAACTCTTGGTAAAACAAGTTAGAATTAATTCAGCTTTTCTTTAGGAACCTCAGAGTCCACAGTCATCTGTTCTGTCTCCTGTATGACTAAAATTCTGCTATAGAAACATGACCAGCACTGCTGTCTCAGCCTCTGCCTTGTGCTTTAAACTACAAGGCTGAGATGGACACATTCAATATTTTTATGGTAGTCTGACAAGTCTCTCAAAGAACTTTTTCCAGTGATAATCTGAGTCTTAAGACATATGAACAACGAAAACATGAAACAACCACAGGTATGCCAATCCTAGGAGCATGACCTGGGGAAGTCCTTAAGGAAACATTTGCAAATCACTTAGCTAACAGCTGAGTTGCTAGAGGGTTTTTGTTTGGAGTGGCCTCTGAGACCTAGGTTGGGGGCCTTCCTCTGTGTAAAGCGCAATGACAGGTGTTGAAACCCTCATTTTTGGGAGTACGTTCCAGCTAGGAAACTGGTTACTGGAGCTCTTTGCCTCCAGATGGGTTTCTGCAAGGCAGAAGTGACAAGACAGAAGTGTGGTTCTGTCTGCCCTTTTGATGCACATCCCTGCTGCAGGAGACTGCTCCTGCATTTGGAATGTCATGACCAGTGGTTAGAATCCCTAGTCAGTATTAAAGCCCAGAGCAGGTATCAAGTCTGTGCACCTGTGCTTGCTGCCTGCCAGACAAGCAGACTTGAGCCCAATTATTGAATATCTTGGCTATAAAATAACTTGATCCTTTTAGAGTAATACAGAACAACACTTTCAGAACAAATGATACATAAAAGAAACATAAAATACACTAATACATTTGCAGTGTTTAGAATAATGACATTTGTTTTGATATTAAGGCATATTTAATTTTAATTCATTTTCAAGTTTCTCCGTTCTACCAAAGAAATGTAAAGGTAGATGTTTACTTTTATGCTGAAATGAGAAGTACAGGTACTCTTAAGATACATTCAGGAAGATTTTTTTTATCTAGGATTTATATATGAAGGTTTCAGTATTCAAAATAACTAAAAACTACAGGTCTAGAAGATTTATACATAGCTTAAACATATACCCATTGAATTATTAAAGCAGCAGGAGTTTATGAAATAACAGCTATAAGAACCTTAAGAAAACATCATGTTCTTTCAAGAGTGTTGTCTATATATCTATATAAGAATTTGGAAAGCATACATAGTTCTGACAATAATTTAATTTCTTCTCTTTTTCCCATGATTGTTAGACCTAATACTGCAATTATTTTCTGTATTGAAAATATCTGCTAGAGGGATAAAGTATTCCATGGTTCGCACTGAAAAAATTATATTTTAGTTTAAAAAAAAGTAAATTATACAGCTAACTAGACAAGACTGTCTTTTCAAGGACACGTTATGACTGACAGCACCAAATTTCAGAACACTTGAATGAGATCCCTTTGAATCTAGAGGTTTTACTTTGGTTATCTTCATATTTTGCATTAAGCTGCAATTAAGTGTATGGAAGCAGTGAAATATAAGTTACTTGCTTTTAAGCTTTGTAGTCAGCTAATGAAGCTTCTAAGAAGTTTAATTTTGTAGGAAGATGCCCCCAGTGGATTCTATGTCTCCCTCTGTGAAAATGGCTTCAAAAAAGATAGAAATACTTAAGTCTTATCAGAACTTTAATGATTTCATGTCATCTCATGACCTTTGATGCATTAAGGGAAGACCTTGAATCAATACTGGAGCCAGGACTCAAAAAGGGGAAAATTCTATTTTCTACAGRGCAGTATAAAAGTTGGTCACTCTGTGGAAAGGTGTCTGTTCTGCAGTCATAGGAGCTTCATTTTTTCATTCCTATTTTTATATTTACCTGGTTGGGAGAGGAAGCAGTGCATTAGTACTTGTGTGCTAAAACTGACTAATACATAAAACTGAGAGATACATTAAAGAAGATCATAGAAGTACTGTTGCTGCTCCAAGTTGTAATAAATAGACAAAATAGTTTCAGCTAATAAATAAGTTCAAATATATCACAATATGCCCGCTTCATGATCAGAAACAGGAACTGCACTTACTAAATGAGTTCAATTACAATGACTTTTCCTAAAATTTTGCAAGAATCTGAGTTTTGTGGGTATACTGTGAAAAGGCTATAGCGATCTTCAAACTTAAGTGTTGTTCTTGTATTTAGACAAAGCAGAATTTTCTCATATGGCTGTCTTCATATCAAAAGCTGCAGTTTATATTCATAAATGTCTAGATCACAGGCTTGTTTTCTGTATGATCTTTTGGTCCTGATAATACTTCTGAGTTTAAGTTATGAGTAATTTTTTTATTAAGTTATTATGAACATCTGACATTACTTTGACATCTATTCTTAATTAATGTGATAAGTCATTAGTAGAGAAACGCATGAAAAATAGACTCACAAAAATGCAGCTGCAAAATTAGTATTTCTTGTGCATAGTAAAGTTTGCTCATCTAAAGATGGAGTTCATATCTCTTTTTGGGAGGGGGTAAATCTGACAGAGTGAAATAGCATTTGACAAGCGCGAGCTCATGACTCAGTCATCAGTAGCACTCTCCATACGCCTTATGCACATTCCTTTTTCCATAGCAACAAAACCAGTATAGCATTTCCCTTTTTTTAAAGGGCTTTTTAAATTTTTGAATAATAATATAGACTTGTTTGATATGACAGTAGCATGAATATTCATATTTGGCCACAAATGACCTAATTAAGGTCAGCTTCTGTCAGAAATAGTAATGAATCTTTGGTTGGATTACCATTTCTATACTCAATAATAACTTCTTATTATTAATAATGAATTTTTATTTATAGGTTCTTCTTTTATCTAATGACCTTGATCTTCCAAAGAGATCCACCAGGGTGGATCTTTTCAAATGGATGAAACTATATTGTTTATTTGGATGGAAGTCCTTATGTAGTGTATTCTAAAATGGCATAGAAAAGTTTGAGCCTTGTCTCTTTTGATATTCTTTCTGTTTTCTAAAAATTAGGGAATGTACCATGACATTGCATAGTGGTGTAACTGACTGATCCATTACTTATTATTGATGCATTGTAATCATTCCTAGAGAATGGTAGAAGAATTATACAGGAATTTCTGATGTTGGCCTCTGACAGTCTGGTTCTGGTCTTCAGTTTGCCAAAATTTGAAGAAAAAAAAAAACAAAAACAAAAACAGAGAGAAATGACATTAGATTAGACAGTATTGCTTTCAATCCACTCTGTAGTAATATGTCATCAGCCAGCCATCACTAACCTTGAACTTCCATGTGTAGGTTGGTAGCTTATTTAGCATTCCATTATTTTCAGTTTCTTCACATCAACTGCATCTTATTCACCAAGTATCAGTGTAGTTTATTCCATGTAAAAATCTGTCAGTTAAAACTATTAAATTTTCAGTCACACTTTTCTTTTAAACATTCTGTTCAGTGTCAGTGTCTTTAGTTCTGATTTTTCAATTTTGTCCCTCTCCTTTTCCTTGACTTGTTAGTCTGATCCAACCTCTTCTACCTCATCTGATGATTATCAATATGTTATGGAAGCTAAACTACAAGAAATGATCTCCATACGTAGGAAGGTAGTCCTACTGGACTTTACTTTCTATTGCTAAATAGAATTCATCTGATTTGTTTTCATTTTCTTTAACTTTTTTTTTTTTTAATTGATAATCAACCATCGTGCAGTTCAGTGCTTCAGGAGCTTACAATTTTACGATGGCAGGTTTGTGTTCAAACCATGCACAGTCTGCATGTTACATTTGGCTGATTTCATTGCTCATAAATAACTCCAATGTTTTGCTGATGCTTGGATGTAACAGGCCTTTGTAGCTGACACATTTCAAGCAATGCTGTTCAGCTGCCTGTTTAATTAAAGTTTCTTTTTGGAAAACTAAGTTTGCAGTTAGTAGTAGCTTGCTTTATGTTTTGTTTAAACTCTATTGAAAAATAAATTTCCAAAGCCACTTCAATTACAGAAAGAGTCTTTCTTTTATTTTTTCACAGGCAGAAGAAAGGCATGGAAACATTGAGGAACGTATGAGACACTTAGAAGCTCAACTTGAAGAGAAGAATCAGGAACTTCAAAGAGTATGTGTATTACAGACGCCTTCTGTGCACTTTTCATTTGCCGGTATAATGCTACATTATGTACTCCACCACCCAAACCTACCTAATTGTAAATGTTTTATTTGTAGCAGTGATTGCAGCACCTCCCTACTTTACTTAACCATCTAAATATACTAGTTAACATCTAGTTGCAGAGTTGAAAACATTCTGCTGTTACAAAAATGAATATGTATTAATCAGTAACTGTAATTACATTTCAAGTGGAATTCTTTTAGRTGGTTACAGTTACTGTATTTTTATTTTTATTTTTTTATGATACAAGTCTGTAGTGGGTAAGATCTGTCTCTTTTATTCTGCGTTAAAGGCAAGGCAAAGAGAAAAAATGAATGAGGAGCACAACAAAAGATTATCTGATACTGTAGACAGACTTTTGACAGAATCCAATGAGCGTCTGCAACTACACTTAAAAGAGAGAATGGCAGCACTTGAAGAAAAGGTACAGTATAAAGAGCAGTATAAAATTTTGCTTAATGAAGTTTTCCCTGAATGTTCTACTTTTATCAGGATGGAGGCATCATGCTGATTTTGTATTACCAAATATTAACCCAAATGTGGTCCAGCTTATACATTCAACTCTTAATTCAAGAGTGTCTTTCCAGAAGTGCTGCAAATATGCTGAATATTTTGAGTCACATTTTATCAGACAAGAGCCTGATGAAGAGCTTGTAAAGGACCAGTGCGTGACAGGGTGGGTGAGGCAGTGAGAGAAAGTGGATGCGAACTGAGGAGTGACCAGTTTTAGACATGCTGTCATTTCTGTGTTTTAATCTGCTGATTTCACCTCACTTCCTCTGGGAAAAATAAAATGCTGTCACCAAAGGAGAAGGAGCCTTAGAGAGGGAATGTTATTTACAAGCTTTCCATGATGTGAGACAGTGAGGTCCTACAAAATTCAAAGCCGCTGACTTTTGTATTTGCCTCCCTCTTCCACTTACTCCCTTTCAGTCTGATCTGAGTGGAATCTTCCAGTGTTTTTCTGAAGGGTATTTCAGAACTTCTCAGATAATGTATTTCTGGTTTATGTCATTGAAACAGAATGTGGTAGGGATCAAGAAACAGGCTTGCCAGAAGGAGTTGGGAGAATTGGTTGTAAGAATGAGGCGGTTGCTCAGTTGAACCAAGGTGCAAAGTTTTTGCTGATCCAGGAAATTGAATTCTTTCCAGCATTTAAAATTTAATATATAATCCAATTGAAGTAATAAAGAACTTTAATTTTGAAGTCCAACATACATAAACTTTTTAAACTTGTACATTTTTATAGTGATGTATTAACATATCTCTAACTTATTTCTTGCTCTTTTTTCTTCTCTTTTTATTTCTAGAATGTTTTGATCCAAGAATCTGAAAGTTTCAGGAAAAATCTGGAAGAGTCCTTACATGATAAGGTACTGTAAAAAATGTGATTTTATCTGGTTTTACCAAAAGATATATAATTATTTAGAAACATGTTAATAATAAATATTAATAATCCAACTATCATGAAAGATCTTCCTGACACACATGAGAATTCTTTTAATCACCCAGATGCCATAAATAGCCTCAAAATGTCTCTGACAGTTGTTCTGAGCTAAGTTCATGGTTGATATCCTAGCCTCAGGAAGTTAATACCAAAATTCATATTAATTTCACTGGCTCTGGAGTTTTTGTTCTATCAGTTTTAATTCTGAAAAAGTCTTGTTTAACAGAGATGTATGCATAACTGGTTGCACTTTCATAGTGAAGAATGTAATTTCTTTATTGCATGCAATTCTTTTTAACAGGTGCACTGGCATTATGTTAAATGTAGCTGAAAGTGACCTTTCTTCATTCCTTGCAAATTAACCCCGAATGCTGTTTAGTGAATCAGTCAAATTGATTATAAATATTTGTTCCAATCCCAGATACCAGGATTTTGTTTTGAATTTATTCCTGCCTTGAGCACAGGAGGATAGACAAATGTATTTGCATTTGCAGAAGTGTTTTTGTAACATATTAAATCCATTTAAAAGCATTTGTATAGAATCTTTAAAATATAGCTCCGTTCCATACTAGCATAAATATATCATATGCTATCCAAAATCAAAACTTTGAGATCTTGATCTGGAATTTTTTTTTTATTTTCATCTACATTTAGTTAACCTGGTGAAAGGCAGTCAGATTAATTTACACAAAAGGACAACCTGTTCCAGTGCCTCACCACCCTCACCATAAATAATTTCTCCCTGATACCTAAAATTTACCAACCTTCAGTTTAGTGCCATTATCTCTTGTCCTGTCACTACATGTTCTGACCCCAGAGCTTCTAAGTGTCCCTCTTTGAAGGGATTATTTGTTCCTCTTTGATGATGGACATAACACCAGACACTAATAATCTCTAAGTAACTGGAAAATGTTACAAATAGAGTATCAGATATCTCAGTAACTCTGTTTGATGAAGAAATATTTTAAAACTATTATAATACTATTTCAGTAATTATATAATAATCAGTGATAATACTCACTGAAACTGATATTCCTTAAGTTCAGATCCTTATCCTTCCTAGGATTTTGTAATACAGAACATTTTAAACTCTAGGAAGAGCAGCWTTATATCTCTATCCCATGTTTGCTCATTTGTTTTAAAATTCTTTGATTTTATCTATCTACTAAATTAGAGACTTTATTAGTAGATAACAGTAGTCTACTTTATTAGTAGATAACAATTATTTGTAGGATTTGGGAACAGTGCATTTTTCTCTAGTGGTAGCTGTAAATAGTGAGGGTTTTTTAATTTGTTCCAATAATCCAGTATTTGTGGCAAACTGTCATTTTTCACCAACAGCCCCTCATACTAGAGTTCCATCAGCTTATCAACAGCAAGACATACAGCTGCATTTCAAGTCATCTAAAATGCAGTTACCTCTGAGCCTGTGTCTCTGTCAGTAAATAAAAAGGCCAGTGTGCCATCTCATACTATCATATAGTCATGTAAGTTGGAAAAGGTGATCTGGGAGATCACTGAGTCCAGTCGTTAACCTTGGTCTCTAAAGGGAAAATGGTGTGTCACACGATGAGCTGTGCCTGGCTTTATAATAGGAAAAAAAAATAAAGTTTCAAGGACAGACTTGTCGTGCCACTTCCTCTTGATGCATACATCTTATTAAATGAGCTTCCTTTTCTTATTATAGACAGTGTTACATTCAGTATATTTTTGCTTGTTTGTTTAGCTTTATGAGAACAATATCTCATAAAGTAAATGTATTTTGAATCACATATATCTTACCTCTTTATTTCCAGGAAAGACTTGCTGAGGAAATTGAGAAACTGAGATCTGAGTTGGATCAAATGAAACTAAGGGCTGGTTCTTTAATTGAACCCACCTTGTCAAGGTAATACTCTGTGATGAAAGTTTCCTCACTTTAAGTTGAGACAGAACATAAATGTAAGTGGCAAGCATTTACGGCAGGGATGTGTTCAAACCACACATAAATGTAGTCATGTATTTTTTTAAAATGCAAAGTCTGTGCAGTGATTATTATTGTTGCTTTTCACTTTTTCATATGTATACAGGGCACTGTATCAGTGAAACTGCTGCAACAAACAGCAGATTTGGTTTTGGAGCAGCCATGCTTGGTGAACAGCAGATTTTCTTGCTGTATAGATGAGTCTCATTAGCTTGTGCTCTGTAAACAGGAGCTGATTGGCCTTTGTCAAAGGGCTGTTTAAACTTGATAAGCTGTCTAAGTATCTTGGGAATTCAGTGGGTTCCACTAAGCAATATACTTTCCCTTTGTAACCTCACCTCATGAAGCTCCCAGCTCTCTCAGTCATAGCAAGCTCTGAGCATTAAACAGATCTTGTTCTCAGCCTGTATTTAATTCTGCATTGGCTGGAGTTTGTGCTTTCATGCAAATAATGAGGGAGGTCAGCAGATCACCATCTTTGGCTAGAGACTGTAACCTGGACTGTTTCTTTTCTCCTGCCCACTTACTGCACAACTGCCAAATGTTATCAGAACAAAATTCAGTTGAGACAATTACTGTACACAGAAGAGAAAAACTGTCACTAGACCATAGCAATTTTTTGTTATATTCCAGTTTTTTACTGTAATCACGGCATTCACATATTTTTATTTGGAGATTGCTGATGTGTTAAGAAAATAAATTTTTCAGGTCTCGACTTCAGTAGTTGAAATCTTGAATGGTGCATGGAGCCGTTGCTCTTCTGAGGTGGCTCCACAGCCATGGTTAGGATGCTTTTATTGCACCATGCAATGAACTTTTGCTGCTGCTGTCTGACTAAGGACAAAGAGGTCAGGGACCACTGTTTGTAAACAAAATAAGATGTGTGGAAGTTATCCTATATATGCCTCACCACAATATCTCAAGACTTACCAGCGTTATAGGAAAAATTGAGGGTTAAAACTCAGAAAGGTATCATCAAATAAAGACTAGTAATTTCTAACCAATGTTAAATATCACATGTCAGCTCACTAATACTTTCATAATGTAGAGCACATACTTGCAGCAGGAAAGCATAATTGATATGCTCACTCATGAACATGTAGCACGCTTAGAATAACCTCAGGCATATTTATGATTATACAGGGTAGTACATTCAGCTGCCAGTTCTAATTATCCTGAAATGTGCTTTTTCTTGATACAGTTCTGGATGATAAGTTTTCTATGCACAGCTTTCATTTACAAATACCAACTATTTTATTATTTGGTTTCTCCCTTAATTTTCTCATACAACAATTTCAAATTTTCACTTTTGAATTACATTTTGGGATGTGGTTTTCTGATTTATTATGTGATACATAAAAAAAGAAATCTATCCCTACACTGAAGGTCACTGATTTGTTGTTGTTATTCCTATTACTCTCTCAGTCCACTTATGTAATTGTGTTTATAGACCTCACCTGGACACATCAACAGAGCTGAGGTACTCGGTGGGCTCACTGGTTGACAGCCAGTCCGACTATCGGTCAACTAAAGTGTTAAGGCGACCTAGAAGAGGCCGGATGGGAGTACGCAGAGATGAACCAAAGGTTAATCCCCAATGTCTTCATCTATATTCCCTGATAAGAGAATGTATTTGAGGCTGTTAAGCTTACAATTTTTGCGGTTTTCTTCCAAGAAAAGAAACAACAGGAAAAAAAATACCACCAAACCAGAAAACTCAAGCCAGAGAGCAGGGTTTTTTCTATACATGCTCAGACAAAGAGTACTGCTGTATTAAAATGAAAGCAGAAAAAGTTGGAGTTCAGACGTCAAAGGACAAACATACTTGATTATTTGTCTTTCCCGACTGTCTTTTTCTATAAATTTTCCTGATAGTATTTGTATACCTAATTTGCAATTATGTGAAAATACTTTATGCTATTTGCAGTAATATTGCGAGCATTAATGGAGAGTTAATAATCAAATAGGCATTTTTAAATGTTAGCTGCTTTCCTTTCCCATTATTTTTGAAGCTTGACTTTGCAGTTTTCCCTTACATAAGCTACGCATATCCTCATTCTTGCTCAGGTAAAATCACTCGGTGATCATGAGTGGAACAGGACGCAGCAGATCGGTGTTCTGAGCAGCCATCCATTTGAAAGTGACACTGAGATGTCTGACATTGATGATGATGATAGAGAAACACTTTTCAGCTCTATGGACCTGCTGTCACCAAGTGGCCATTCTGATGCCCAGACCCTGGCCATGATGCTTCAGGAGCAGCTAGATGCAATCAATAAAGAAATCAGGTGTGTAGCCTGAACCAGCTGGGATGCACTTAACGATTGCAGCTTCAAGCTTCCTTTAGTGCTTGTGTTCAGGTACCATTCATAAGTTAGGAAAAAACTTGTTCATTTGGAGGATTGATAATGTGTCTGCTTTCTAGAGGAGAGTATTGATTGTGTGTAGGTATCAACCAAGTCTTTCTTTCCCAACCATAGTAATTTCTTTCAAAAAGTGTCCCAAATGAAGAGGTGATGGCCAGTTGAAGAGAAGTTAGAGGAGACTTACACATGGCAGATTTCAGATTGGTGTTCGCAGTCCTCTTTTCGAGGTCTTTTTTACCGTTATACACGACTCCACTTATTACTCAGTAACAACCTCCAGTCAGAAATATTTTATTTCAGTGCTCTTCATGCTTTCTTCTGGTAATTATCCCCATGTTAAATCTAGTATAAGCCATGTTTTCTAAGATGTGGTTTTGACTTTCTCTCTAGATACAGAAAACAATTTTTCATGCTCCCAACTTGGATTATAGTGCTTGGAAATAGGTAATGAATAGGATATATCTTAGTAACATCTATGCAAATTTAATGGAGTGGTAGGGAATCAAATGATGTGTTTTAATTAAGTGATTTTTATAAATGAAACCATACTTTAGGCTTAAAGCATTCTTATGTGGTTTTTAGTAAGGGCAACTTTAAAAAAAGCTTGGTGTATGAAAAACATCCTATCATTAGTGATTTTTTTTCCTAGAAGGAGATGAAGGAAGTATTGGTAAATGTTTTAGGGCTTTCTGGTAGTGCTATAAAAAGAAATACCATGGTTAGTAATGTAATCAAAACAAGACTGATTAATCTTTTGCCAAATCAGTCTTTCTCTAATCAAGTAACTGTAAAGGGAGAACTCTGTTGGAATACATTGAATTTGAGTAATTTTTCTGTTCAGGGGAAATGTTTCATTTTAAATCTAGAGCTTTGCACTTCTTGCTATCCCATAATGTGTTTGTTCAGATAGGATTACACTCCAGTTTTCTCAAACCTTTTCTTGCACCTGTCAAGATACAGACTCAAAGACATATTTTGGTGTTGGGAAGGTAAATCTCCTTAAAACAGGGTACATAAAAGAGAGAACCTTATCAATTTTTTGTTATTACAAAGAAGTCAGCACTGTGGTCAGTTCAGGAAGTGGTAGATGCAAGATTTATTTGTTTTAAAAAAATATTAGTCTTTCGTCAGTTTAACAAGTATTACTGTAAACCATTTTCACAAGGAATTTTACTTGCAGATGACATAGTGGGATATTATTTGTGCCACCCTGAAACAGATCACTGTTTTACCTAGCTTAGCATCTTGACTCAGATGTTAGGTAAAGTTTTACCTCAAAAGGGAAGCAAGGGTACACTTTTTTTACAGCCATTTTTACTGGAAGTCTACTGAGAGTAGTTTATTTCCTCAGCTGCACTCTTATACTGAAGTATAGGCTTTTATTATCAAAGCCATTATTAAAGGATCAGGTATGTAATTTTTTTTTTCGGACAAATCATTCTAAAAGGATAGTCCTATAAACTCTCCTGCATTTCATGTTTTTCTGTTTTATTTTTTTAATTGACAAACACGATAAGGTTTTATCAAATTTGTTGACATATCAAAAGAGATAAAAAATGTATTTTGGCTTAGATTTGTTTTATTATACAAGATGATTCAGGATTTAGATTACTAAAATAAGCATATTATTATAATTCCCTTTCAAAATATTATTGGCCATTAACTTTCTGCCCTGCATTATTTCAAAAAGAACTGTAGATGTTCTGTACAAGTTCTGAAGTGGATGTTAGGGAAGAAGATTTATCACAGAAAAGGAGTTTTTAGGTTTCCGTTTTCAATGTATTATGGTTTTATTTATTGTTCTTGCTTCATTTGACTCAGAAAAGTCTGGTTCACAGTTTCAGCCTCCCCAAAATTTGTATTCTCTCATTTAACATTGGTCCCTCATATTTTTTCTTCCTCTTTGCAAAAAGAGAGGTTTATAGGCCAAGGGCTTATAAACAAATATTTTATTTTAAAGACATTTTTCGATTCTAAGAGCCATCACAATTGAAAAACAAAACTAAAGAACCTAATGGAAGCATTCTGTTGAAGTGATAAATGCTTAAGAAGCTTATATTGCATTCCAGGAAGAAAGCTATTTTCATGAAATTGACTTTAAAACACAGTGTTTTAGAAACAGCTATCATCTTTTCATCAAATTGTAGGGGTAAAACAGACAATTTGTTTTGTGTGTTCTCTTGTTTTGTTAATATGAATTATTTTAGCAATTCCCTTCTCAAAGGCCCAATTTCATTTGACTCTTAACTTTGTGCTTTAGCAAAAGATAATCATATGAAGTCAAATAAGCTTGGAATTAGTTATTGATGGTAAATCAGGTTATTAACTTCCCTGCCCTATTCTAGGCCCTTTGCAGAGGAACCTGTATTCCTGAAATGTCATATATATACATCAAATCTTGCTGTTGGACACATTCCTTAAAGAGGTTTTGAGGATGGAGGAGTTAAGAAAAGTAATTTTATAACTCTGGTGATTAGGAAAATAACATTGGAAAGATTATTTTTTAGTTATTTATGGTATTCAGCTTTGTTTTCTCTTACTTTCAAATCTCATTTGAGAGGAAATGGTTATTAGTTTTGCTTTGGGGATATGAAGAGACAAATACAACAAGAGCATTCTTCTTTTACTTAATAAGGTTAATCCAAGAAGAGAAAGAGTCGACAGAGTTGCGTGCTGAAGAGATAGAGAACAGAGTGGCCAGCGTGAGTCTGGAAGGCTTAAATCTAGCCAGAGTCCACCAAGGGACCTCCATTACTGGCTCAGTGACAGCATCATCACTTGCAAGCTCATCTCCTCCCAGTGGACACTCAACTCCCAAACTCACCCCTCGCAGTCCAGCCAGGGAGATGGACAGAATGGGGGTTATGACGCTGGTAAGAAATCTTAGAATGACAATTTTTGATGTGATTTTTCTTGTGTTAAGTACTTAATCTTTTCACTGCATGAGTGGCTCATCTCTCTCTGATTCTTCATGCATGTCTTCATCATCCATACAGATAGAAAATTATCTAGAATATGGACATTTGGTGTCTTCAGGCTTTGTTATAGTGGTTTTGAGCATTACATGATTCACTAGGGATATAGTGATAGGATTATCAAGGGCTTTCAGCACACAGGCTATGGAATTAATAAGAAACAGAGCTGATCACTGGAATTATTTACATGTAAAAATGTTTACTAATGGCAAGTTGTTAAGTGATACAACTATTACACAATGGTCTATGGAACTATCGCTGAGTTTAAATTTCCAGGAAATGTCTAGAAGACATTAAGACATTCCACTTCTTATATATGACCATTTAGATATGCTTTTATATTTGGTATACTCCTTTATACTTGTAGCATTTTTATGCATTCTTCAGGGCTGTATATCATGGACTTGTAATAAGTACTTTGATTTCCAGTAATTCATATTTAACTGATACAGTTCAACATTAGAAGCAGCTCACACATAGACATCAAGCCACCATGAAATTACCATGCAAAGGATTTCTAACATTGCCTCAATGTATCTTTGAGGACACATTCAAAAATGTCTAGTTCAATTTTGGAAGAAATTTACAAGGAATTTAATTTTGATCCTAGACAAAAAGGAACAGTACATCTGTCAAATATCTGAAGATAGTATATGTCAACATATTTAAGATGTACAACTCTGATAGTGATTGGAGTATGGACATAGGGTTCAGTGTTCAGTGTGAGCTACAAACCAGTTTCAAGCCTGGGTGAATTATTCCCTTAAGTACTAGGAGAGAATCAAAGCAGCCCGCTCTGCTGATCTCATACAGGGAACAGAATAGGGTATGGGTAAACCCATTTTTTAATTGCTTTTCCTCTGATAATCAGATCACCAATTTGCCCTTCTGGTCCACTCCAGGGAAGCAGCAGCACTGATTCCCTGTGGAGCCTCCACTAACAGAAAAGGTTGCTAAGAACAGCTCCAAATGAAGCCTGGCTATTCACTTGTCTCAGCTTGGAGTAGAGACTTTTGTTAATGATCATCTAGCCAAGTGTTCCCTCTCCCTGGGAGCTGACAACTTCTCATGTCCACCTCTACTCCTTCCACTTTACTGTGGTTGTTTGCTGCCTTCTTGGCATCTGAGGACAGCAGACAGGAGKCCATGCAGGCAGTCATGACTTTTTCTTTGCTGCCCTCAGTTCCCACTGCTGAACAGCAAAAACAAAAATATTGGTTGCACAGGTCATTGTGGAGGAGGTGAGTGTTCAGGCTGATACGCTACCACCGTTTTCACCAAAGCAGCACCTTCCCAAATGCAGAGTTTGGCTCCCTTTCCCCAGCCTTTTCAACTAAGCAGCCTGGCTGTGGGTAAATGGCAATGGTTCAACTGCCCTGCCCTGCCTGGTTGCCTTGATTTCAGAACTGCAGCTTTGGGCAGTAGGTTCATCAGATTCAAACACAAAATGACCGTATAGCCTCTGCACCAAATCTCCATTGGGGATAACCTAAGTGTTTGTATGAATACTTGAAAATAGAAAGTGCTACCATAAGCTTGAAATGTCCAATTCTTCACTAAGTGTATGAAATTGAAGGAGAGTTTAACTTTAGGAAAAAAAAAACAAACCTAGTTTCCCAGAATGACACATTTTTCAGGGGTTATCTTACATTATTACGTCAAGTGCATAATTAGTATTTAATATGGGTAGTATAAAATGAATGTTTGCTTCCCACTTCATGAATGTAAGAACAACAAATGTGAGGATTTTTTTATGCATCAATAATATTTATTAATCATTATATTTTTGTTGTTGCTGCTTTTGTTACTAATCTAAGCCAAGTGACCTAAGGAAGCATCGGAGAAAGGTACGATACTGGGGGGTTTGTAAAATTCGGGAAAGCACATTTATCATATTCCTCTGCTATTTAGATAACGGGGTCCCTTGCCAGCAACTGCATCCCTCCTCTCCTTTTCATTCAATTCCTGAACATCATCATTTTAATCTTAACTGAAAAGGCTTACAGGGGTCACAGCTAAGCCACAGAATCAAGGTCCTCCTCTTGGAGTAGTAGCCTCAACAGCATGAACTGAAAGGAAAACTTATTTTTTTAAATGTATGGACACAAAAGAGTTATCTTCAAATGTATTTTGACCATTCTTGCTGGAGGAATTACAGACAGGTTCCTTGAAATCTTCTGGAGCAATGTAAAGTTGTTTACAGAACTGACACTGATTATGAGGTTTATCTTTACATGACAGAAGATGGTATTTAAGATAAATCATTATATGCTGTGACAAAATTCCTTTTTRTCCATGCTTACTGTGAAGCATGCTGACCGTTCTGGTAACATGCTGTGAAGGGAGTAGTCCTGTTTATGCTTGTATTTACCTTCCCTCTTATATCCCTAAGAAACCTAAAACTTAACCTGAATAATCCTGTTTAATGCAAGAGACACACTTACACCTACGATTGTCTTTATGTTTAGACCTTTCCTGTACCAACCTCTTTAGCGCAAAGGGAATGAACAACTTCTACAAGCATAATCTCATTTGTTTCAAATATATGCTTTAAGATGCCATATTAGGCAATGTTTTTCCCAATAGCATATTTTTTTTAAAAGGAATCCTTACAATTTGCTCAAAAATATTGCAACTTTCATGCTTCAGTCCACTTGAGAATTCCATGCAGCATTTGTTGAGATGTTCTTGAAAAGCTAGTGTGCTCTCAATGGAGCCTCTCTCCCCCAGATTGCAGTAGTTGAAGAAGATGGGCGTGAAGATAAAGCCACAATCAAATGTGAAACTTCTCCTCCTCCAACACCCAGAGCTATCAGGATGACTCACACCCTTCCTTCTTCATACCACAATGATGCTAGAAGGTAAGATGTTTGTGACATGAATTGGAATTTCACAGTTTACCACATATTATTGTTGTTTATCTATTCCAAAATGAGCCGATTTCTTCCCTGTTTCCTGTGCCATAAGACAAAAAACCTTAGCCTTTGTCTGTTGCACGACACTGAAAATGTTTATCAGTGCTAAAGTACTTGCTGGGTATTTCTGTTTCAAGGTACAGTTTCAATGACTACTGAAAGTAGCAATGCTACAAATCCTAGGAATAAAATCAAAATACTTACTTATGTTTTTCATAAATCCTTCTTAGCAAAATAAAGGCATTTCTTTTCAGCCTTGCCTGATAGAGAAAATGTAATCTTGTGTTGCTCTATATGTTGCCAAATAATTTAAAGATGTGATAGTTTCACTTGTTGTGAGATCATTACTAAATTATAACCAATTAATTTATTTGCAGAGCGGATCAGAAGAAAATAAAAAATTACCTGCAAATGTTGACATGTTATCTATTTCATTTCTTTATTATCGTTTTGCAGTAGTTTGCCTGCTTCATTGGAGCCAGAAAGCATTGGTCTTGGCAGTGTCAGCAGCAGTCAGGACTCCTTGCACAAAGCTCCCAAGAAGAAAGGAATCAAATCTTCAATAGGGCGATTATTTGGCAAAAAAGAGAAGGCTCGACTTGGACAGCTCAGTAAGGAATTAGTGGTAACAAGCTAAGCTCACCCTTTCACTGCCATTTTCCATTTTTTATTTTTAATTTCTTTTTCAGGTTCCAATTTTCTTGGTTTTTTGTTATCTCTGGCACAACTTTCCCATTAAATTTCACTGTTATCAGCAATTGTACCACTGTATTCTTGAATAATCGCAGAAAGAGGAGGTGAGAAGTTAGTAAGCCATAAATGGCTATAAGTGATGCACCTATGTGATAAGGATGGTCCTTGCAAGAAAGTGTAGCTGCTTTTCGGATTTCAGTGTGTCAGTAGGTGCTCTCTAGTGCCTGTTGCTGAATGTCCTCAGGACACTCTTTCAATTGGTTATGCTGCTCACAGCAGTGCTTAGTTTTCTTCTGGCTTCTTCTGCCCTTTTCTATTTCATTCATGGAAAAAGTTTTTCTCTGCCTATTTCTACAGGATATGCCTAAATGTATGCGTGCCAACACAAGTTTCGAACTGGAATAAATGTGTCAATAAAATGGAAATACTGGCTCTTCCCTAGTCATGCAAGATGTCAGATAGTACGAATTTATGAGGGACTAAATTTTACTGCCATAGTGACCATGTAACACTTGTAAAAGACTTTTAAGGCCTTGCAGTAATTGTTATGCTTAAACTGCAAGCAAAAGCCAGAAATTAAAACCCTGCATTTGTGTTACAATGTGTTCTTACCACGACTAACAAGCTCATTGCTACAACAGCACAGAATAAAACCAGGTAGTATTAAGGTCACAGTATCAGAGTGAAATTGCATAACCAAGTATTCTTCATTTATACTCCAACCTTCCCCTCTCTGCTGTGAAAACCATGCATTCTTGACAAAAAAAACCCTAATTTCTAGTTGCAATCTGAATTCCTCTTTTTTTTCCCTCACAATGGAAAGAATGAAACTGATTTATCAAATCTTTTAAATGAGAATCTATAAATGAGTCCTTCAGATATCCCTCTATGCCACCATCTGCATTGATGGATAATTTTATAACATCACACTGCAACTCAAGTTAGACTTTATTAATTCACATTTACATTCCGTATAACCCTTTTTATTGATACAGATGGTTTATGCRTAATAATCTATTATTTCTCAGTAAGTCAAGAACATAGAGGACAAAGATGTAATAAATGTGTTGCCTTCTCTGCAGTTCTTTGGAATGTGGAAAAAAAATTAAATGACTTCAAAGACTATCTCAGGAGCAGTGCAACCTGGCAATAGATTAATTTCTTAATACCCACTGTAATTAATAATACATAGATAGAATTTGATGAAGTCAATTGGTAATTCCCCATGCTAGGTCATAAAATTGCTAAAAGATATCAGTGATTTGCAATTATATTAATTTTGGGGGACTTCCATCCTTTAACYCAATAACAAAGATTTCCATATAATGAACATTTTAATTAAGCAAACTAGATTTACTAACAGGTATAAAATTAACAGTAAGACTGTTAACTAACCAAAAAGTAGGAGAAAAATATTTCTCAGAAATTAAAAAGACATTGAGCAGCTGAATTACAGAGTAATTTTTCTTGTCTTCATTTTTAACATATCAAAAGGAAAGCATTTCTTGAGAGGCCATTTCCATTCAATGGCTGTATCATAGAATCGCAGAATGTCCTGGATTGCAAAGGTCAGTGAAATTTTAAAAATAGTTGTCATGGTACTACTTGGTAGTACTTGACTCAGTTTCACAGCTTATCTATTCTATTCGTTATTTTAATCTTATCTACTTAAGTAAGAGTTCTATTTGTGGTAAGATACTACATCACAGAAATTTATATAGCAAGTCCTATCACTGCAGCTCTGCAAAATATTTGTATGGTTTTCATAACCCAAATTGATATTGAAAAATATATATAAATATAATTTATTTCTTTGCTTAAGCACTCAAATTTAATATAGATATATGCTGCTTATATTTTTTAGTATGGAAAATGACTCATCTATATACTCTTATTTAAGAACCAGTATTGAAACCTCTAAAGTTGTACCATTAAGTTCAACTGAGCCATTCTATTACCTGAAATATTTCCCTCCTCTATGTTCCTTGCAAAACCCTGAATTAGTTTTCAACTCCTAAACTTGCCAGAATTTTGTTACTTTATTATTTGTTATAAATATAATAAAAATAAATAAATAAAAATTATTATTAATAATAATTTTACCATCTCTGCTAAACCATTAGCATTATTGTTCAAAGCCAAATTCATGCCTTAGGAGATCTTTCTTAAAATCAAGATTTCTAGATTTGTTTTCTTCAAGTTATTGAAGAAGGGAAAAGAGACCACAAGTGCCCTTTCTTCTCTTGCCTTCTTGTCTTCTCTCACTTGACAAACACCACATAAGACACTTGTTTTTCTCATGTTACATTTTAAATATTCTAGATCCTAAAACAAACAATGCATTCCAGGCATTTTTAGATCTACCCAAGCAAGCTGATCTGCATGGCAAATGGAAAGGTCAGCTTGTTAGGAAACATTTATTGTGACCGAGTGCAATAAAGGTACCCTCAGTTATTCCAAAGCAAGATGTATTTTTCTTATAGAAAAACATAAACTGCTTTCCAATCTGTAATAAACGCTCATTGCAATGCACTTGTACTGTCTCCATCCAACACACTCAGAGCTGCTCTCTCAAGAAAAGTGTGATACACTGATAGTTTTCTAAATCAAAAATTTAATCCAGAGTCAGCATGAAGCATTTAATGGGATTCTGTAACACTTGGGAAGTTGGATGAAATAAAGAATACATTCATGTTTTCTGCATTTGTGAGATGCATTTKCATCATTCTCATTGTGAGACTTGCAGAAGTAGTGTCCTCTTTTAATAAAGGAAAAATCTGTCTAGACAAACAGGAATGTTAAAATAACACCTGCTTTAAAAAAACAGATTAACCTTAGCTTTTCTAAGTTTATGTCATTGACAGGATGCAGTAGTAAGTAGCTTTTGTTCTCTCTTGATTGAGGTGCATGAAAATCTGACTTGTAAAAGGCTGTGATGCTATTTCACTATGCAACATTTATGCATTATTTTATTATTAAAATCAGTGAATCAGTACAGAAATATTTTAATTTATCTTGTGCTTTTTTTATTATGCCAGTGTCCACTCTACAATTGTTCACTATCTGTTAGCTGTGAAATAAGAAATTGCCGTTTTCAAATGGAGTCAAGCATCAACATTTTACTGTACTGTTTTCTTCTTTCTTGTGCCAGTTACACACCTGAACTGGAGCACAGGAGGAACGCAGCCTTCAAAACTGTGCTGCAGTTTCTCTGTACACACACATGTGGGAATGAGCACAGTGTGAAGCCAGAGCCAGGAGACTGTACTGAGCTCCATGGGCAGGTCCTCTCTTCTTGAATCAGGGCAGCAATCAGAAAGTCAGACTGTTCTCCACTTCCTGCACTAGGAAAGTCATGTCAGTGGAAATATGGATCATACCAGCCATCCTTCGTTTATAATATGATTTTATTTTGGTCCATGTATCCTTGCTTACTGCAAGCTCCCTTTGTCATTCTGTGTGAGTTATTCAACTTCCTTGACTTTGTCAGGATTTAGGTGCATACAAGACATATCCAGGGAGATATAGGAGGCTTTTTACTTCTCTGGCAGATTCTTTGTGTCATCTCTGGGAGTTTGCAGCAATAATGACATCTGAGACTCTCTATGAAAGCAAAATGAAGACTTTAGCACTACTACATTAGGTGATGCTGTATTATGGCAACAGTAGAGAGACAGTTCTTGACACTTTCATTTGTACATTTCTCAACTAAGATTAAAAAACTGTGAGAGCATTGCTTACTTAGCATCACAAGACTGAGCCTTAGGAGGCAAAGAAAAATAGGAAAAGAAGATCTTGTCAATGCTCTTGTCATACATTTCTGCAAAACACAGGGAGGGGAAAGCAATTTTTTTTTTTCCTCCAATACTCTTTTCCATGTAGTAAATGCTTGTCAGAATTTACTTCTGTAGGTGATAGATGTTCTCCACAAACACCAGATGTCACTGCTTAAGGAAGCAAACATAGATGATGGTGGGAGGGGGATTTAAGGGTTGAGGAGGGGATCAACTGGGAGAGAGATGGGGCAAATATGGTGAGTTTGGTTTGTTCTATTTTCCAGGAGGTTACATGGAAACAGAGGCAGCAGCTCAAGAATCTCTGGGATTGGGCAAACTTGGAACACAAGCAGAAAAGGACAGAAGACTAAAGAAAAAGTGAGTACCATTTTTATGTGACTTTTTGGCTGAACCTTGATTCAAATATCAGGATTTGGATTGTTTTATGCAGCTATGTAATGAGAAGCAAGACCATTTACTCTGGCATTTTAGCAGTGATGTTTCTTTCCAGTGTAAAAGTTTTTAAAGATGCTTATAAAATGTCCAGCAAAATATTCTCTCAATTGTACAATATTATTTCACTTGTAAAAGAAAATAAGTTTATGAGAAAGAGGCAATTTTCCATTTCACATTGTCATTAATTCTGTGCGTTTTGCCTTCTGTGCAATTCTTTAAAAGTAAAGATGTATTTAATCACTCCCTATGTAGATTTTGTTTTTCAAAAGGGTAAAAAAGCTTTTTCTGTATTATCTAGTGAACAGAATATTATTTCTGTTTCTAGATGTCAAAGGTTCCCCATCAGCCCTAGCAGCTTCTTTTTCTTTTTGCCTGTCAGTAAATACAGGCAAAAAGCAACGTAGCTTTTTGTTTGTCTCAATTATATAATAATTTAATGCTGTCTTTCATGCACCTCCTTGTAAAAACAGTACACAGACTCATAGCAGCTGCCAGGAGCTATGAAGAGCTAATAAAATAAGGCTACAAACACAAAAGAAGCCTCTTGGCAGCATTGCACTTCCAATGTAATTAGAGGGTGTCAGGGAAAAAGGTGGTACTTAAAAATGACTACAAATTCATTCTGTTTACAAATGGGTTTATTTTTCATCCATAACCATTATATTTACTGCTATTATTTGTATTCTGAAAGCCTCATTTCTTAAAATCTCTGGGTTTTCAGGTTTGTTTCTGTCTTTTAATATTCCTTTGCAGATTTTCAAGAGAATTTGCAATTCTAATCCAAAGAATCTAGGGATAATGCTTGAGCATCTCTATAAATTTTTATGTAGAATATTTTTAATCTCTACTTTCCTATAAAACACTTGATGAAATATAACTTTAAATGTACACATCCATATAACATACAAATGCAAACTTTCTGTTTAAATCAGCCTCAATTTAGCAATTAAGGAGAGAGCAGACATTGTGCTAACTGAAATAGAAGAAACGTTTTAAATTCAATTAAGCAGCTCACAGTAGCATTCACAGGGATGTTACAGTTGATGAGTCTTGTCCCTGTATTTCTTATCTATACATTTTTATCACTAATCAGTAATTTTAGAAATATATGGATGTAGATTCTATTACTATGCTTGCTTTTGCTAAATCTAGAGAGCATCTTTGAGGCCACCATCACCATTCATAAAGAATATAATTTAATTTTGAACAGCCTTTTTTTTGAAGTCCCAACATGCCTTCCAGTTTTGAGGGCTGAATGCACCACAATATTGAAATCACTTTGCAGGGACAAATGTGTTCATTTTGTTCTCTTTCTTGTGTGTTAGTTCTTTAAACTGGATAAAATAAACTAAGACTAACCTACAATTGTAAACATGACATGACTATTTCATATATGAGATTATCTACCAAATTTTGGGTCTGGAAATTAGGGATGTGTAGCTAGTCTTGTTAAATTTCTGTCCAATCTCACACAATCAGGACTTTCCCATGCTTTCTGCTTTTCAAGTCTTTCCTTTTTTTTCCCCTGTGTCTGTTTGTCCTTGATTCTTTATGGATTAGATGTAATCAAAATGATCTTTGCTGGAAGTAAAGGAATTTTTCCTTTGTGGCTTTGACTATTCTATTAGTCTGAACTGTGTATTATTTATCCCTAGTATATGTTCCACAACTACATCATGAAGAATTTTTTTTCCCGTTCCTTTTAGGGTTACCTATCTTCATAATTTCTCACTTTAGAATCCTCAGAACTGCATTTAAGAATCCTCTTCATTTACTATCAGAGAGGAGTTAGCATACATTGCTAGTTTACATATATATGTATATATATGTTATAAGAAACCTTAATATAGAAAAATGTGTAACATTGTGTTAGAGATAAATGCGAGATTCTACTGAATTATGGTAGTCATTGGGGTGCTAAGCTATCAATAGAGTGTAAGAGAATTAAGACCTCCTAATAAGAAAAGCAGTCAGCATCACAGAATGGGGCATAGTCAAAGGGACCACAGTCGGTCATCTGGTCCAACCTCCCTGCTCAGGCAGGATTGTGTCCCAATGGTTCTTGAATATCAGTCACATATTTGCATGTCTTACCCTAGAAAATATTAAATTGAGACAGTCCAGAAAGTAATTTAAATGAAAATTTTTTTGCCGTAGATCACATTGCTTTGTGCCAATACTTAACAATGGTTAATTACCTCTGGAAGAAGCCTTGCCATACATACAGTAGGTGCAAGGTTACTGAACTGTGTAGTGCAAACAAGAATGTGCTGCTGTGCAACGCTAATGGTGGTGGGGATATGTGTGAAGTGCTTATAGGACATGATAAGAGTAGTCCAAGAACCATTCCCTATCTCATGATGTAGCAATAACATTTATAGCAGTAGGATTTAAGTCCAAGTAGTTGATTCAAACAAAAGCACTCTACAAACTTGCAGAGACAGTAAGCACAGTCACGGGAAGCCAGAGCAGAGCAATTCACCTTGTAAGCATTTCCAACTAACTTGAATTAGGACATTAAAGCCCAGGAGAACCAAACCCACCAATAGGATAGTTTAAGGATAGGCTAAAGCAGGGAAGCACTACTTTGTATTACGTTTCAGGTCTCAGAGGGTTTTGCTTATGCTGGTTTTGTAACTTCCTTTACAAAACTAAAAACCAAAACCAAAGAAGAGAATAAGAAAAACAACCTCCAAAAAGAGCCTGCAAAAAAAAAAAATCCAACAATAAAAAAAATTGTATCGAATCACATCGAAACAGTGATGCCAGAGCCTTTTCTCTGCCAATTCTCTTTTCTATAAAACAGGTATAATACCCCCACACTGAAACTGCGTTTCTCTTTGACACATGCAAGTTAGGTGAAATGGCTTTCAGCCCCATTGACAGCTCAGTATACATCTCAGTTCAGTGATGGTTCTGGTGCAGGAAAGCAAGAATTCTACCCTTGATGTGAAACAGAGGTCAAATTCATCACTATTATCAACATATGAACACTGTGACACTAGTCATGATCTTCACCAGGCTTTGCTATTAGCTTTGATTCAGTTTGGATAGGAGTCATTATGAAAGGACATATTCCTTTTAAATTGTATCAGTGGTGTTTCTTATTGAGGAATATTTAAAATGCTAAACTTCTAATTTTGCATTTTTGAATGTATTTAATTTCATCAGTAATTCCACAAGGACACCCCTGCCCCAGGGATGAAGATGCCCAACATTTCAAATTGCCAGGTGCTGCAGCACTGGGTTCTAATAGTCMATCAGGTGTCCTGGGTGCCTGCTCCCTCATGCAAGCATTGCATTGACTCTGACCCCCATGGAGTTAGGAACACACTGGAGTGTGTTTCAGTGTCTTAGTGCAATTTCTTTGCGTAGAATCTGGTTCTGAATCATAATTCCACTCTTAAAAGTTTAATGAGGAGTGTGGTAATTGTGGAGATCAGTTCTCTCTCTGGTGATTATAGTGTCATTAACCTAAATTTCAAGGTTTCCCTGCTTCTTGTTTAGAAGATGCTATTTAGATGTAAAATTTCTTTCAGTTTCAATTGACTACTAAGACATCATTAAAATGTAATTAACAGTTTGTCTCAATGATATGCCAGACATTTGTAAACCTCTAAGAGTCTCTATTCATCCAAAATTCGGTTATTACAGTAGATTTATTAGGAACAAGTCTTACTCCTAAGACATTAAAGAGAAATTAAGGAAGCTGTGTAGAATTTTTAAATTATACTCAACATCTCTTATAAGCTGAAAAGATTAATTTAAGTTGCCTGATTCATCCATAGATGTTTACTCTCAGACATTAAATGAACAACAGTTCTAGTTAATATTGAAACTTTTTAGGTCATGCAAATTGAGCATGCAGTCCTAGGAAACAAAAGATGAAGTAAGGGGTATTTAAAGTATTTAGGGTGTTATTCCATTGTTTTGTTAAATTCAAGTGATGTTGGGGTGTAACAAAGAATAAGGCACTTCATTTTTATTTCACTTTATATTTCACTTTGCTTATTCTATGTAAAAGGTGGCAATATTTTGTATATATAATCTTCTGCCTTTTGCCTGACTTTCAGAGCCTGTTTGCCTAATGAGTAACTTCTTCAAGAAAACTCAGGGTTTAGGACAAGAAGTATTAATGTCATGATACCGTTCTGTCACCATTACATTCATTTGAATCTCCCAATGATTTAAATCGTTTGCTCTCCTCTAAACCATACCTTTTGATTAAGACAGACTCTCCAAGCTGCACCCATCACAAAATGAAGAATGGAGTTTTTCTCTTATTGTGTGGGTTTTTTTATTTGATTTTTTTTTCCTAGTTATTAACCAGTCTCCCTCTGGAAAATCATTACCTAATTTCCAGATCTGAATTTTGTAGTTGACTCCAGCTACCAATTCTCTGTGACTGTGTATTACAGTACCTCAGATGCTCATGACATCATCCTTTTGGGGTGTTGTGCAAGCTCTGCTCAATGACTTGGCCTTGGCATTCACACAGGGTTCTCATGATAGCCCAAGCCAGGACCCAGCGTAAGGAGTTCAGGTCAGTCCTGTTTCTATTGCAACTCATAAATATTCCTGAAAGGTTCCGGTAGAATCATGGTATCCTGTGGAACAGCAGAATTTGATCAATGTGTGTCCCACAAGATAATTCATACCTCAAAAGAATGATTAGATAATACTGTATCTAAAATAAAATATTCCCCTTTAAAATGCATATCTCCACTGACCTTATCTCAGGTAACAGATTAGGCCACTTAAGTGAAGCTGTATAAAAGTGTGTAATAATTAATAAATAATACTATAATATTATGATATTGTAAATAATAAAATAGTAATGACATTTCTCAGGATGTTTTAATTTGATCCCATGCAAGGCACCATAAGGAGAGGTTTAAGGGACATTTAAGTACTATGCAGTC